CTTCCACCTCGGTTAGTAAGCTTCATAGATGTTGTACCTGAAATCTGTATTTAAATTCCTGTACATTATAAATCACCCAATGAGGACTTTCTTGGAGGATTAATTACCCTCCTTCAACATGACCTTCAATCTTCTTTCAGTCCCTGAATAGTGAATTTTCAGCATGAAAATGTTATGTAAAAACATCTTTGACTCAAAACGGCAGCCTGGATCCGAGGGCCAGTTGGTACCACAAAGGTATCAGAACCTCGATTTGGTGCTTCTAGGTGCCACGCATCTTGAAAAACAAACAACGCCGTTTACCAGCAGTCCCGCTTTGAAGACCAAAGCGGTAGGCTTGGGACTATCGTGAAGCGCTGGAGGTTTTATGTGTTTATATGCAACATCTGATAGTGATTGAAATGTACAATGGTTATTATATTATGACCTACTATATTACCCCATATTTTATCTCAAGTGCTAGGAATATTTTCTAATCCATACTTAGTACGCTTTGAACATTACTTCGCGCGAAGCTCACAAACCGGTTGATTACAAAGATGACAAGCAGATAAAGTATTTTACACAAATGACATTTGGAAGGACAAAAGATACAATAAATGTTGGCGGCTGCGTGCCTCAACAAATGTATGAGGGCTTCATGTAAGCATATAAGAAAAACTTAACGTTCATAATGTAAAAATGTTCATAAAAAGGAATTAAATATTTAGCCCCATAATGAAAACCATTCTTAAATACTTCAGCGGAAAGCTTTTTTACGGGCCATACAGGTAAAGGTAAAAAAAAACTGCGGCTAAAATCTGATTTGATGAAGACTTTAATTGTCACAGGTACTTTGAGTTTATTTTGGAATTTCAAGTGGTTTTGTGCGATTGGCACAGATTATTCTGTATCTTTGCGACGGAAAACGATAAGAATCTTTGCATTGTTAATGGCAGTTAAAACATACGTTTCAAGAAGGTTTAAAGAAATTTTTCACTGATGAGGTGATTTTTATCAAATTGTCGAGAGCAGAGCTAAACGGCTATGAATGGACGCACCAGCTGTAAAATCGCATGCTCTTCACTGTTTTCGCAAACGTCGTTACAAAATACATACATAGTAATAAATATGAAATTATCTATAATCATGCCCGCAGCAACCAATTTCTAAATCAAAGCCAAGTTTATATTGCAGCGTCATTTTTTTTGTTAGAATGCCTTTTCAATACTGCCAATGTACTCTATCAGAGAAATATCCGATACTATCGTACGTGACAAATATACTCGTAATGCAAGCATGGGCTCGCTAGTAGTATTCAAACTTGATAAACCAAAGTTTGCTAAACAGTTTGTTAAACTGGAGCTGTTTGAAGTACCAGTGAGACAGCTAAAAAGTTGCAATGTATGTGGCTGTGAACGCAGTTTTCACATCATTCACATTCAAATATATAGAAACCTAGAGTTACTTATAAACCAGTCACATTAAGATCGTCGCGAAAATAATACTTATGTTCAGAATCTGCAAGAAGTCAACCATTTATTGTAACAAAACGAATAGCCAATTTAAGCTAGAGCAAGCAACAAAAATAACGTTTTTGGGCGAGGTATGTGAGATGAATTCTAGTTACGCTCGCTCGATGTTTAACCCGCGCTGCAAACAGGATTACGACAAAGTGCTTTGCTTCCTAAAAAAAAGCTAACAACCTTATTCAACTGTAAATATAAGAAACAGTGACACTTCAAGGGACAGAGAGGCTTGAGGCGTGTATCTGTAAGTGTATGTTATTAAAACCAAACTGGGTCTACATTACAAACGTTATAATGATACACTAGCCCATGTGCTACTATCACTGACTGAAAACTGACGCGGAAAAGCACTGCATATACTCTGCGGTTCTACTAGTCTGAGTGCCAACAACATCAAATAATTGAACATCTATTGCATCACAAAACTGAAACTCCTAACGAGCGAACTGTTAAAGTTGCATCAGCTATTTGATAACAAAATAGGTTGCGCTCTTTTTACGTATTTTATGAACAATACCGTATAGTTAGGGAAGAATATATTTGATATTGAATTTGATGACTATGAAATATTAGCCAGCCAACATCCTCGTGCTTCACTCAATTGCATAGACGTGACCACCATTATTTTGCATCTATAAGCCGTATAAGTTCCGAAAATATTGTAACCTCAGTTGAGATTTTAAAAGCCTAAAAAATAGCATACCGCAAAATAAATCAGCTTATTTAGAGCTTCCACGCAAAAATCATCTACTGAAATTCATTATATACCAAAAGTTATGTTTCGGACATGATGGTTTTTTTAAACGTGGAGCATGCAAGTGACCTTACAGCTTCCTTATTTGGAGTGGCACGCGTCTTACTGAACGCCCGCGCGGCATTAGTCACAGCAGAGATCATCAACGCCTAAATACAAAAATATTGGCCCCGTGTAAACATTATGCCCGCGTTGTCGAAGTTGATTACTTTAGAAGGCAACTGTGCGGTCAATTCAGTTCTGCCATTCAGTCAATCAAAAGCCTTTATGTAACAGCAGCTGAAATATATTTGAAATTTTGAAATATCTGCGAGCTGTGTTTCTTTCTGTATGATTTATCTTCAACAGTTCGTGGTCCGTGATCAAGACAACTAAAGAGAGCTGAATTATTAGTATGTTAATAAAACATTTATCTACAAATTTATTGGTTTACAGCTATGCGACCCCTGCATAAATGTGTGAGTTATCTCCGTAGCATACTTCTCGGTAAGAATATGTTTGGAAACTTGCAGGTATCTTTTCTATTAACTTGTAACAGAAAGGCTGTTTTAAAGCGGTGTTGGGTGAAAAATTATTAGACTCTAAAATGCTTCGAAGACGTACACCGTATCAGTTTCATTTGATGTGTGTAAACGAATTTGGATTAGAAACAGATACCTTGAACTTGGCATACAAAGGAATTTGACGTTCATATAAGAGTAATATTTTCTAATAAAAATCCAGCTCATGTTTAAGACCTAGATGTTTCGGGATTATTGCCATTTCGTGCCATTAATTGTTATTATTTACTTGCATGGTTGCTAAATTACTACGTGCATTTGTTCAGTATCGAAGCAGAACAGGATGGTAAATTAATGCTTCGACCTGTACTCCTAAGACTGCTAAAGTCATTTAAATGCAGTATCGATGGTGAAGTGGAAAATTAGAAATACATGTACATGGCACCTATTGCAGTTGTCATTTGTGTTCCTCGATAGCTTTGATGTATATATATTTTCTTTTGCAATATTTTTGGACTTAGGTTGATAGGTCCACAGAAAAACAAAGCAGTCGTAGCTAACGCAGCCGTTGTTTGAACTTGCAAAATTGTAGCTCTCATTCTAGAAATAGACGTCGTCATATAATATTCCATCTGCGAATGGAAGGGAAAATGGCTGAGCAGGATTCGAAGGGGGATGCCTGTGCGGCAACGGTGATGCGCGAGGGGGACTTTGTTATCCTGAAGACAGAGAAAACCGCCCGAATGGTCCAGCTTAGAGCCGAACATCCAGTATTTGTTGACAAACGGAAAATAGAATGTACTGACATTATCGGACGACCGTGGGAACAGGTAAATGGCAAAGAATTTTCTTGTGTAGTGTATTATTGCATACTTTCAATGTTTAACAAAACTGATGGAGGTACACAATTTCAGCTATTATTTCCAGCTACTTTAATACTATACTGGGCAGCTTTCGTCAGCGGAGATCATCTGTAACATTGATTAGCAGATAAGTTGGGAGAAAATAAATTCCAAATTAAGATCTTCTATTTATGTATTGTGTCGGTACTAAAATGCTTGCTTTTTGTAGGTATTCGCTATGAGCGGGGCTAAAGGTAAAACCAACCTAATTGTCGTCCCTCGTCAAGACTACGTTGAACATCTCTTTTCGGCAACAGGAAAGGTGTCCATACAGTTTTGTTGATTCGTTTCCTAATTCAAATATTTGTATCTTTTCTGATATTGTATTTCCCCGTGAAATGATTCAAAGGGATTTCACGTCTTACCGTGTAATAGATGGTGTAAGATGCGACGTTGTATGACACTGAAATTCAACAGTGGTTTATGGAAGTGTTTATATTCTCTGTAACCTCCCTATTCCGTGAACACACGTCTCTGGCCCAGTGCTATGCTAAGAATAGAACTCATTGCTATTTAAGCTGGGCAGACATATCTGCGGGGTAAGCTAGCTTCTAATGTCCATTTCCATTACATTTTTAGGTCTTTAGTGAAGGGCAAGGACAAGACAATCGAAGCATCTGCGATGAAAATCGGTCACAGAAACTGTCACGTGAAAAGATTGAACAGTTTAAGAAGGACGGGGCCAGTTCTGTAGCGATAGTCCAATCACTGGTTGAAAACTCAGAGTCCTTTCAAGCTAAAACCGGCTATTCTCAGGAAAAATACCTTAAAAAGAAGCTCAAAAAATACGATTGCTACCTTCAGGTACTGCTACGTTTTTACCAATATTTGCGAATCATTGCAAATCTGAGAGGTACGACATTTGTATTAGGAATCTTAGGTGTCTAAATATTTGGCCCCTGTATTGCATTAGAAATGTGGCTATCTTATTTAAAATATGTTTTTATTTAGCAGTCGTAATAGAACAAAGACATTTAACCTTACAATCTTTATTTTGGTTTTATTTGTAGACTTGCCGTCCAACTGTTCGCTCACTTGCCCACCTTTACTGGAATCAGTCCCCACTCAAAGTTGGAATGCTGCGTCCAGACAGTCTGGCAACGATGCTCGCTCATGCAAATATATTATCCTCGGTAAAATAACCTAATGCAACAGATAAAAAACATTACGCGTTCTGCTTTCCATTCTGTGCTGCAGTGTTTTAGTTTCGAACTAATTTTACCTCGCTTTTTTACGCCTTTATATTTTAATGCTATATGTGTTAAGCTGAAAAACGGCAATGACGGGTTTCAGATGTGTATAGATAAGCTATAGCTTACACTGGAACGTTCTGTTATGAATGATTGAGTCTCTCCAGTGCGTATCATATGGCTTCCATAAAAGCCGAATTTACCTTTAGACTTCATAGAAATACGTGCATCGGTATGGCATAAAGCCAGCACTAATGGCATCCTAATTCTAATCTCAAAAAGACATTGAATCGACTTGATTTTTTATCTGTAGATCTATCAATAGAGTTTGTTACAAGGAACGTACGAAATAAATTTTTTATATGTTGTCAGTTACAGTACTGCATCGCAGCATGGCATGCATTTATTTCCTTAGGTTCTAACCCTTTACTTCTTATTTGGACTTACCTTGAAATTTCGGCAAACAGGGTAAATACGTCGTAATGGATTCTTACTTGGGTCTCCTAACGGCGGCAGTCCTTGAGCGATGTCCGCAAAATCAAGTGATTCAAGTTCTTGATTACCAAGGATACCAAAGCTCAACGCGACAGGCTGTGCAAGCACTCGGTTTAGGTAGGTTGCCATAATAGGGACGAACAAAAGCGTTAAACGAGTACATTTTGTACCATAATCTACAAGGAACACCCTGTATATTTTATATCGTAGTTGTCAATATCTGCCATATAGAAAAGGCAAACACCCTAAAGTAGGTCTGTGCCGCCAACGAAACATTCACTCTGACAGATTTGTTTCAGAAAATAACTTGGCTCGTACCTTACTAGCATTATGTTATGATGCATTACGTGATAGGAACGGAACGTCTTTTATGTGTCGATTATTATCTTGTCGAACGTATGGCTCGTGGTGAGGTGCTCCGAGATGACTGCCCTGAGGATCCCTCAAAAGTACGAAAAGTTGCTCGTTTCGAGAAGAATATGGCTGCTTTGAGAATTCTACACGCCAGACATGTGGACGGGTTGCTTCTCAATTGTCGGGGTGAAATTTTAGAGTCAACTGTCTTGTTATTACAGTTTTTAAAGCTCTCTCGGCCCTTTGTTATTTTCTCACCATACCTCGAGGAGCTAGCGCGATTATACGACACTTTAAAATCGACCAACTGCACTGCGATGCTTAAGGTTAGTATTGATCTATTGTTAAGTGTGCTCAGAAGTATATCATATGAAAACAAAAGAATCTTATGCACCTAAACGGCCGAAGCTATTAGTATGATATTCCATGTATAATATCCTGAGTAAACATTATTTGATTAAAACACTGTTCGTTATACACATTTTTAAATGACTCAAAGAAAATTAATGTTGTTCTATGAATTTTATTGGCTTTGTGCAAAGACGTTCAACAACAGACGTATCGTATGTTCTAGATTTACCTTGTGAACGAAATTCTGTAAAGAGTTCCCAATCAATTATTATAATAATTGTACTATCAAGTTACCATGGTGCAGAAGCAGGATCTCTTGAACTTTGACGTCTATACATATAACGCTAAAGGATTTTCGTTACAGATATCGGAGAGCTGGATTCGAGGTTACCAAATTCTCGAAAATCGGACACATCCTGAGATTAATATGCAAGGCGCTTCAGGTTATGTGCTGACAGGGATAAAGTGCGAATGATACTCAATAACACCTGGTAATAAAGATATTATGTTTGTATACAAATAATAAATTACGGTTGATCTATATATCTATAGCGACGAGTTTTTTGGGTTTTTAAGTATTATATTTATAATCGATCACGAAAATGAGGCTGTGCGCAGTATCCGTTAAGACTTCCTTTATGTCACACGAACAAATGAAGTAATTAGGTGCGACGTCTTTGAAATATTCAAATCTATCGTGTAGTATTCTTTATGAACTTTTAATATTTGAATTTTTATTGCTATAAGAATGAATATTAGTGTATGCTGCTCAAAAAATCCTGGAATCCAAGAAAAGCTACCAAAGTCCAAATTTTGAAAACTTTGTATGGCATTTATATTATAATGATTACATAAAGAATATACTGGTGAAATATACATTCACTTAGGTGCAATGAGCGCGTTATATTTGTTAAGTGATATATATTGCGTTGTAGTGCTTCCGCATATTCAACAACAAAACCTTTAAACTTAAGATCACCGTCAAAAATAGCACCTAGGATTCTGTATAAGGCTTTCGTTCAAGATGGCATAAGATGTTGCCTGAAATGACTCCCAAAGCCCTGCTAGCGGGACGATTCGTTAATTTAATTAGTCTAAGCACTAGGTGTCAACTCTATACCTGCAGAAAAGTATCCTTTAAAATTTGCCGAATTTTTCTAGTAATACGCTCTTACATCTGGTAACTATCCTTTTTTTTTAACGCTTTTCAGCCAGTAAATTTTGATCTGTTAGCATTTATGTACACTTAATTAGCTTTACGGCATCACAACAATAGATATAGTCATGCAGAGACAAGGTATCCAGATGATGTGTCTTATGTGTAAAAAATTACCAGAAAAGGACTTGAGCTAAAGTCCTTAGCATTAGGCAGGTGGGTTCTTCATTTTTGCGGGATAGATGCTAACATCTGACTAACAAAGATTAGAATAACCATTTAAATTCGTGCTTTTTAATTGCCTCTTCGTACGTTCGCTCGTGCGTCTTTCATTTATTAAAAGCTCAGTGTCAAAGGCACTAGTCCTAGGTATGTTTTGTAAGTTTATGTACAGCGTTAAATTTATCGAAGATTAAACCGACTAATGAATTGTTGCAAAATCCTGTATCGATATCTAGTTCTGTGTAAAAACAAGTATGGGCCCCGGTAAGGGCGAAGAAATATGGAAAAATGATCCACCCTGTATCTATATTAATACCGAACTACAAGTGCTTAGCTTTCAATTACTTTACACAACGATATACCGCGACAGTAATTTACAGCGCAAAGTAGCCACTATTATTATTATTCACCTGCAAAACTAATTATAGTACAACCCAAAAACAAATTATTTGTCAAAAACGTGAACACAGGTCATTGTTAATAATAAGAACTTACTATACTACGATTGCCACAGAGCTACGCGACTACTATAATATACTCTGTTAAATAAATAAATTATCGAATTAACACATGTTCACTGGGTAACCTCAGAGACTTGCTATTACTGAAACATACTAAATTTAAAATATATCATTACAATTCACGAGTTTGTCATATTTCAATCATTGGTACCCGACAAACTTTTTTGGTACTTAGTAGTAATTAAAAGATTTCCGTTATTTAACCTCCAATGGCGTTGTAAGGTTCCGTGAACATTGTGTTGCTGTCCTAATAGTCCGAGAAAAAACTAGTGTGGTAAAGGAAGCCTCTGTTTTTAGCACTCCTACTCTTCGACTAACCGTTACTTTGTTTTACCCAAATCGTTAGAGTTACGTGCGCAGTTGATCTTTTGGCGCGTCAAAGAAGAGTTTTCGGAGTTACCGACCTTTCCGAACGCGTACAAGTACACGGATATCTAGAATAGCGAATTCGTTCGCCATCTTGTTAGTAATGTTCTCGCGCCCATTGGGCTGTAATATTAGTCGTGCTTGCGTTTTCATTGTGAGTGGTGATCCATCGGTGGTAGGCCTATAAGGTACATCTCATCTGTTGGATATCGAGGACAACATATTTTCTTACATTGAACTATAAGAATATTGATACCGAAGGACGACATCATATAAGTGAATTTGGTGACGTGAATCGTGACGGTCAGGCCTTATTTGAAAGATCGAAAAGACCAGAAGTACTGATGACAAATTTTTTTTTCAGAATCCAATACACGGGTAACGGACACAAATTTATCTAATCAGCAGTTGTCACTGAAGGCTGTGTTTCCTTCGAAATCATCTCAGGCATTAGAAGCTTCATATCTATTCAAAACGCTGTCTCTCCTAAGTGAGTCCCCTCCAGTAAAAACACTATCGCCGGTTAGAACGCAGTCTTCTCGTAAGGCTCTGTTAAATCTTCACCATTTTCCACCAGAAATTTATCTCGTTTCAAAAATTCAGTTTTCCCAAAGAGACTGGATCCCTTAAAACGGCGCATCTCTTCACAAAGGCCAAATTCCCCAGAAACGTCGGAGCCCCCTCAACGGTCTGATTGTCCAAATAAACCGAGTGCCGAAAATAAGGTTTCTCCTAGAATAAACTTTTTTCTTCGATGGCGGTATTTAAAAAGAAAGCGAGTAAAAAAACCGGTACTCACGCCGCTACCAGAAGCCTCAAAAAAAGCTTATTCCAGTCCAGATGAATATTTAATTCCAGTTGATGCCGAAATAACAATCAGTTCTTTCCCATCGGTCTCATCGGCGCCGCCAGTATGGGCAACACTGCCCTACTTAATATATCAAATGGAGATGCAAATGGCTCATCGGGAGGAAGGTTACGTTGAAGGTAATTCCTATATAGATGTCTGCCTCGCACAATCGGTCGATTGTAAAGTGCCTACTATAACGGCGCCCTCTCCACCAAGCAACGACTCCCCATCGTTCGAGGAGCAGCCACCACCTGGTCTGGTAAGACATCCGGATTATGTAAAACGACGATCTCCTTCAAAATGTTCATCTTCTACAAAAACCCTTTCTTCAAGGATTAGCTCAGCGCCTATAAATGAAATTAAGAGTCTTCATATCACTGCTGATGACTCCACTTGGTTAGATAAAAGGTTGGAGGTTCCGCGAGCATTTGTCGTTATGACACCACCGCCTGGGTTGACGTTGCATTCGAACTCTACAAGGAAACCGCCTCTTCCAAGGAGACCACGCTTCCCTCAAAATCCAGAATCGAAAGCGGAACGCCGTGCACGTCAAAGGGCACAAGACGTTGCTGACGGCTACTTTTGGCCAGAAGACAGTCGACCAACAATAGAAATTCCTCCTCCATCACCCGGTCCGTCGACCTCGCTAAATTCCACCAAACGGCACAACTCATCAAACGATTCTGATAACTGGTCGTCATCAGTAGATTCACAATCGTCATCTGCTGATTCTCCCATAACGCCCCGTTTACAACTACAATTAAACATTACACAAATGGAAGATTTATCTATGAAGGGAAACCTTGACCAGGAACAGAAGTCTTTACTATTCGCCCATAGCTCCTCAGTGATTCAGACCTCGATTGAACGTGAGCCAAAATACATGATGGTGCGACATAGCCTGTATGAGTACATCGATGGGAAAGCCAACCGTATCGAATGGCAAAGTGTATTGACTCGCTACGCTGAAAAAAGGTGTCGTATTGTAGTGCCTATTCTACAATCGACCGGTTTCTATGTAGTCGGATACGAAACACAAAAAAACCGCTTAAAAATAGAAGGCTTCTGGCATCGAGATCGTTTTCACATGGATTACGGAGAGGTTTTATCTGTAACACGTAATCATTTGTATGCGATCGACTCTGCACGAGGTGTACGAAGTTTAACAGAGCAAGGTGGACGGCGTTTAATGGAGCTCATCTGGGAGAAAATTCCTGATGAGTTTGACGAAGTTTTCAATGTAACGCAAAATGACAACTTTCGCTTTTTCGTCTACGGGAAGATCGGTGGACAAAACACAATAAAGTTTATTGACAATGGTCCCCCCTTACTGATGCAGAACGCGTCGCGGTTGGACGAATGTCTCGATATTGTCCATATACCTTTTACCAAGACTATTTATTTAGTGTGGCGCGGTTATATTGAGGTAAGGAAAATTGAAATGGTGGAAACTTTCGTCGATTCTCCTCATAATGTTCGTTTTCTCCCTAGGCGGACGCAGATCGAAAAAGTGCTGCACCCATTTAGTGATTCGCGCGGTCTCGTAGTCTATGTTAGAAATACGTGGTCAAACAAAGAGTCAATTATTAGCTACAATTTTTGGACGTCTCGTTGGAAAATACTGGTTAATCTCGACGTGGCACAGCGTGATTATGTTGAGAACATAAGTATTGACCTGGAGGAAGAATATGAACGACCAAATAATGGACAGAATGTAATAGGGTAATTTACCGCTTATCAGGACCAGTTCATCGTGTATAGAATAGAGATTCTGTACTCCAGATCTTCATTCTGTGATCGCAGCGATTACACTGTTATTTAATTACTTTTTCTTTTTTATTTTGCACAATTGTTCGTTTGCAATTTTGCAGTAATTTCTATTACTGCAGCCCATCCGCGTTTTTTCAGATACAAATAATTGGACTTGCGGTGCGTTATAAATCGAAAAATATCTCCTTTAAGCTAAGGTAAAAAGAAGGCCTTATGTTGAAATGTGTCTACCCGCCGATAACTTTGATCTTTTGGAAAATCGTTATAGTTTTTGAAATTAAGAGCTATGCATCGCTGGAAGTGAATTCATCAGCTCCATGTGCCCTTTATCGCATGGATTATTTAGACTTACCTGGCCGCGTTGCCTAAAATGTCTTACCACAAGTGTATGCTGTATATGAGTATAAGGACTATTTCTGCTTATCATACTCGCAGAGTTCTATATACAGGTTTATATATGTATCACATACGGATGCGCCAGTTGTTTGTCCATAATCGTGTGGGCAATAAATGTATCTCTTCACCTTGCTTTTTTTAAGTAAACCGTTTTTACCTTTATTATAGTTTCTTCTGAGTGAAACTTTTAAAGATGTCGATGTATCTCGATACAGGAAAAGCACAAATGGGAAATTATGTGTAACATAAGCAGTAAGGTGAAAGAGAAAAAAACTCTTTCTGTATAATAAACAACTGCAAACAATGACACAAAGCTTGAGTCTATTAATCTAGTAAGTGAAATTACGCGTGTATAAGACATTCTAAATCATAAATATAAAATAACAATATACTTGAAATAATAATTGAAAATGTAACAAACTGTATTTGTTGAGATCAGTCATAGAGTATTTTTTTTGTAACATGAAGTAGTATCGTTACAATATGGCTATCATGAACGATGAGGTATGTTCACTTAAAATCAACCATAATAAATGTATGCTTATAATCTCAAAGAAGATCCGTCTCTCCTTTGTGTGACTACTATAAGGACTGTACCAATCAATTAATTTCATCTGCGTAATTGAAACGCTATCTACCAGAACATCAAAACGTTTCCTACACAAAGCTTAAGCAGAGCGGAAAGCTGTGAAACGGAACCGTCCGGAAGACATCGATGAATGTGTAATGTAACTACAAATTACCGATTTAAAAAAACACTATGCATTATATCTAAGCATTTATAAAGCACTGCTCTAAATGAACAAAGCCACCATAAACCAATAAATAATCAAAAGTTTATTGTATACATTTAAGAATAAACTGAAATGTAAAGCACAAAAGCAATTCAGGCATAAAAAATAGCTGTCTCACAATTCTTTACACACACGTTGTGTGGTATGTGTCATTTGCGAAACTTAAAGCAGTGACCCCCTGCTACTTTAATTCAGGGGTTGGCTATTCAAGTCATTGCGTGTTTTAAGTGTAGGTACTGCATTTCTGTGACCATATTACTGTTTTAAAACAAAACATTTATTCCAGCATTAAATTATTATTAAATGTCTATGCTTTATATATTGCTAGTTATTATGGATACAGCCTTTTGTTCGAACGAAATTTGAAATCTCGAACGAGTTTTTTAATCCTATTCACCTGCAAAGCCTCAGCTAACAAGGGGCGAAGGCATATGGGTGTGGCAGTGAAACCAATGGGGAGAGAAAGAGTGGAAGAAAACCTACCTCATTGGGATGGCAGCCTGACATCTGAGCAGGTGGCTGGGCTTAACTTAGTCTGTATAGTGGACTGATTAGCATGCTGTTGATTCTCATCTTCAAGAAAATCTAACTTTAAGGTGTTCTTACTAGTCAACCTAGTCATCATGAAGCTACGGCAAATCTGG